TAATGTATTTAGTCTTCATAACAATCTTAGGAGATAGGTGCTTTAATTATCTCCATTTTACAGCCAAGGAAACTGAGACACAGAGGGGTTAAATAATTTGCCCAAAGCCACACAGCATATAAGGGTAGAGCCTGGATTCTAATCCAAGCTGTCCAACTCTAGAGTTCATATTAACCACTAGGCTTACATTGTTTCTCATGCTAAGGAACTACCTTTGAAGGGGCAGAATGAACCAGGGGCACACACGAAACGCATAAGGACTTTTTAATCATCCAATATTGAAGTTATTCCTTCAGCAAATTCATTCATCCAACAAATATTTGTTGAGCATCTACTATGTGCCAGGCACTCTTTTATATGCTAAAGATTGCAGGCAGGTGGGATCCCTACACATCTGAGTGAATAAATGCATGGTCTGGCATAAAATATAGTGTTTTGTGGGTTTGGTAGGCCCAAAGCACTGCACCTTTGGAACCCATGTTCTTCCACATGTATGAAATATAATTAGATGTCTGATGAAGAGTTTCTAACACGTTGCAGAGCTTAACTAACACACCAAAGTGTCAAGGTCCAGGAGCTGGTGAAGACAGGGACATTGGGAGAGGCAGCAATGCTAGAAGAAAGAAAGGTGAAGAGCTGAGGAAATGAGGCCCTGCCCCAGGGCTGCCACTGACTTGGTCATTGACCCTGACTGGGAGCCTGTCTGGGCCCCAGTGCACGCCTCCGTAAAATGAGGAGGTTGCACTGGATGAACCCCAAGGCCCAGCTCTAGGATCTAGGATCCCAGGCAGAGCCAGGGCAGAACCAAGGCCATGCTCAGGCACAGCTCACAAGAGCCAGGTTCAACCTGACATCAGTAGTAGCCAGGGCGGGCCGGGGAACGCCACAGGGCATTGCAGGAAGAACTCGGCCAGTTCCTGGGGTCGACTGTTACTCTGAGAGGCATCTGAGGAACACCCCAGACTCGTGCTGCTCTCAGCCTCTCCACAACACGGGGGCTGTGTTTCTGCATAAAGGGCATCAAGAGACCAACAAGCAGAGGCGATGCAGGTTTAAGCAGATCCAGAGGGTGGGAATTGCCTGATGAACTCCTGATGTCAGGGTGGAATGCTGAGTCAGAAAGAGAGCTGTAACCCACAGAAAGGGGGAACTGGTCCTCCTCCTCTAGGAAGGCCCCCGGGGATGCTGGCCAGACTTCTGGCTCCAGCCGGGCCTCAAGAAATATCAGGCAGGATTTATCAGTATTAATAACTAGCACATGACTGAGTGAAGAAGTGAAACTCAGCTGACCAAGTAACTGAAAGTGTCCTTAAGAGAGAAGGAAGGGGTTTGGGTGAAGAAAGGAGGTTGACAGGAAGAGACACACGCACGTACATACATTGAGATATCGGCCTACTCTACCACCCGCCCCCCATTGGTTATGCCAAACTTCTAGCTGGCCAGCCTGCCTCAGATACCATCACTTGCTCCTGGGTACAAATACCATCCAAATTCTTCCTGTATTAGGCAATTCCTCAAACACTGACCCCCACTGTTGTAGAAAAAAAAAAAATACTTTCTCTACAAGTGCTTTGAATTTCCTTTTTTACCTCCTCTTAACCTGACATGTCCACATCTACCTTTCTCTCTGGGGTGGCTTAGTGTTCCAAACTTCTAATTAAGGAGCAGTACCTGGGTTTGGATTTTACCCCCTCCCTCCCTCAGTTCCTCCAATGACTTCCTCATAGAGCCAGCTTAAAGATGCCAAACCAAGGGGTCCAAAATTTGGAATGAAGCCAAAACCCAACTGATGACTAGTCGTGACCATTCTGATGTGAGGCCAACTTTATAGTGTCCAAGAATCCTCAGCCGAAGGGCTTCTGCCCCCCCACAGCTGGCAGTGGGGAAATGGAACCAACAGTCTCGATTTCAGCTGAGGACGACTGTTCAAAGGGGTTCCAATATTCTCTGAACTGCGAATGAATAAAGATTTTTTTTAGATGATAAATGAATGAATAAGAAAGATTTTTATATGATAAAATAGATCTCTTCTTTCCAGGATTTAATTCAAACCTAAAATTTAGATGTAAGTTCAAAGTTTGATTCTGACACAATCTCACTTGCCTTGACAAGTGAGAGAAAATTAAAATATTCTACCGAAAACATGGAGGTAAATCAAGAAAACAAGAAACTGGAAAGTAGACGAGGCTAGGTTGCTGTGCCCAGTCACCTGCTCTGGGCCACCCTCTGTCCCTGGGGGTACCCTTCCTATGGTACGCAACCCAAGTCAATGCATCGCCTTGTCAAAACTCATCCATTTTGTGCCCAGTGGAAATCAAGAGTATTTCAAAATGGCCGTGAGCTAGGGACATTGGAATTGTAATCGGAGAGGCTTACAGACCTAATACTCTAAGTAAACCAAAGGGGTGGACCTCAAATACAACTTGGGGCAGCTGGGAGATATTTTGAGACAATGACTCCTGATTTGAATCTCCTGTAATGAAATTCTAATTGGCAGATATTTTTTCTCTACTTAACTCTCTTCACTGGGCTTTAGCATTGATCTCTCCACTGTAAATTAACCTACTGACCAAGGACATCTAGAAAGTGCTATTTGCATTCCAAATAGTTGTGGGCAAAAGTCACTGAAACCTATAATTTTCTATGCCGCCATACAATACACGGAGGTGGATGGAACCAGTTTCAAAGGTTTTTGAAGCCAGATGAAGTAAATTTGCAGAAAGGCTTGTGAACAGATTTCAGCCTGGGACACTTGTATTGTCTTTAGTCTACCAACCTAGGAATGGGTTTATACCAGAAATTCTTAGTGATGGCTTCTCAGCAGGCAGCAGCAGTGGCTGCCACACCCCTACCTCGCTGTGCCTCTGGAGTGGACTGTTATGTCCAAGTTCTGGCCTCCGAAAAAAGGTGATACGTAAGGATGGAAGCCTAACCAGCCTGCTCCCCGGGGAATGCTCAGAGGAGAATGAATGAACTTTCCCCAGCCCTGAGCCAGAAAGCTGTGGCTGTTAGAAGTTGAAAAGAAAGCAAAGAGGAAAGCAACAGTGTCTTCATTTTGCTATAAACCACAATCACCTTTCCCTATAAGCATCGTCCAGTTTTTCTGGAGGGGCACAGTTTAACTGCCACTGGTGCAGAGGTGCCAACTCAGCAGAGAGCACTTCCTGCGGGTCTGGGTGGCAGTTGAGTGCAGCGAGCTGTGGCCTGCCCACTGACCCAGGAGCAGGCTGCCAGGGGGCCACCATCCTGACAGAGGCCTGGCAATGGGGGCACAGGACTGAGGCTCCTGGATTAAGGGGTGATGTTGATTTCCTTTTCTCAGAGCCAGGCTAGGGCGAGGCAAGAGGGGTGTCTAGGGCACAAGATTTAAGGAGGTTTTCACTCTCAGTGTCATGCAAGTGGCTCTTTCACCTTAGTCCTAGCCCTGCACAGGGCCACCAGCAGAGGTAGGAGTTCTCAAAGGTCAGGAGTTCTCAAAATGTGATCTCCAGACCAGCAGCATCACCTGGGAACTTGTTAGATATGCAAATTCTCAGCCCCATCCCAGACCCACAGACTCTGAAACTCAGAGGTGGGGCCCAGCAACCTGTGTCCTAACATACCCACCAGGTAATTTTGATGCAGCTAAAGCACTGTGCTAGAGAATAATGCTCTCCAAAGCCAGTCATGTGGTCCAGGTCAGGCCACTGCTCAAAATGCTTCAAACACAGCCAGAACAGGGAAAGGGGTAAGGTGGTGAGATGAAAGAGACTTCCCTAAGGCAATCAGCAAGGTAGGAATCCTTCAAACGATAAATCAGGAATGGATTTTTCCCAGCTACCCCTAAGTACTCTGTAGGAAAGACTTGGCAATTGTTGGCAATAAATAAAGCTTACCACTGAGTAGTTCCCTCCTGTTTTTTCCCTGATCTAGTCAACTCAGAGCTGGCCACTGACTGATAGCTTGGGACATGGGCCAGCCATCTGAATATTCTAAGACTGAGAGTCCCTCCTCTGTAAAATGGGGCTAACATCACCTCCCTGCCAATGTCAGAGAAGCTAGTATATGCAAAGCCCCAAACAGAAGCCCAAGGCAGAAAAGCTGTGATGACAGTTCATACACCCTAAGCAGGGGTTCTGAACCTCCCCCTTCTCCAGGGAGCTTAGATAATCTGGGGGCCTGAGGACAACTGAGATTCCTGGGAAGGAGGTTAGCTGATCTCTTTTATGCTGCAGTGTTTTTTAAAGGAGGCTATTTCCCAGTCCCAGTGGCCTGGGGCATCAAGCTTCTTAATGGGGTGGCACAAGTGAGAGATAAGGGAAAGAAGTGCCTCCTCTTGGGCGTTAGAGAACTACTTATTTTTTACTAAATAAATGAAGGGCAAGAAGCTATATCTGAAGACCCCACATTTAAACTTTGTCACTCGAACCCAAACGGTATGAGTGGTAAGACAATGACCAACGCCAGCCAGCTGAGAGACCTCAGGCACATGGCCATGGACTTGGTATCCTCTTTCGCCAAGTACTGGATTATAAATACAACAATAACATGAGGATGATGTCATGCAACAAAACACTGTCAAGCACAACATAAATGTGAGGTTTAGCACTGAGGTCCCATCACAGAATTAGGGCACCATTTCTGCAGGACGAGAAGAAAACTAACCTCACCCAACTTCCCCAGCTCACCAAGGTGTCTACTGCGGACCAGAGAGGCTGTTGACCTGCAGAGGGCACGCAGCTGGTGGGAGACAATCATCAGCTGTGCCCCCTTTCTCCCTTCCATGGGGGGAGGGGGCGGGCAAAATCGCAGAGCTTCTACCCACAGGCCAGGTAAACAAAGGCCTCCATCTCTTCATTGGCCATCCATGCAGCACAGCTGAGAGTCGGAAAGATGATCCATGACTCACACTTTTCCTCCTGAGAGTACTTAACTCCAAGATGATAACATTGCCCATGCGAAAGAGCCAACCAGCAAAAAAGGAAAGTTCACCTTGGGCCCCTGTGCACTGACCCCCTTACCTTCCTCGTTTAAAATCCATGGCAGGAACTCGAACACCGAGTCAAAGTCGCAGGTGTTCTCTTCGAAAGCGCAGGATCCCGCGGGCAGGTCCAGGGCACCGGCAAGCTGCAGGGCTGCTGGCACAAAGCGGGTTTCAGTTCAGGCTCGGTCTCAGGAGCGTTTACACCAACTCAGGGCACCCCGGGGAACCACATGGTGATAGTGAGAAGGGGTGCGGGAGGGGACGGGAGAGGGAGGCAGTATTGCCGCCCCCGCCCAGGGCGCTTGCACTGCGCGACCAGGTCGCTGGGCTCGGGGAGGGAGATTAGCGGCTGTGGAGATGGATCCGTAGGCGCCCTCGGATGGCCCAGCCTAGGACCGCAAGCCCGACTACCAGGGCTGCGGGATCGGAAGAGGGTCACGAGAGCGCCCCTCGGAGGAACCCCCCCACCCCGGATCCAGGCCTTACCTTGCACCGCCAGCAGGACGCCCCCGAACAACATGGTCGGGGAGGAAGACTAGACAGGGGTGCGAGCCGCCAGCCCGCTGGGACAGGCTGCTCCGGGTGGAAGGAGTGTGGGAAGCGGGGGCGCCTGGAATCGGGGGAGGGAGAAGTCGGAGGCAAAGCGTGCGCTTGGAGCTGCCCAACTTTGCAAAGCGGCCCCGGGAGCAGAGCGGAAAGCCGAAGGTGCCTGAACTGTGAGCGCCGCTCGGTGCGCTCGCGTCGTAAGTGAAGCCGGCCGGCCGCACAGCTGGTCCTGGGCGAGGATGGGGCTGGGCAGGGAGGAGACAACTGCACACTTTTGAAAAGCCAGCCAGAACTGGCTGGGAGAGGAGAGGTCGGGAGGCAGTGCCACGGCTCAGATTTTTAAAGCTTGGGACCAGACCCCTGGCAGATACTGGAGAGGGCAGGCCTCCCGGGAGCCCCTCGGCTGAGCTGGGACTGGAGGCGCCCCGCCCCACCCCGCCCATCCTAGTGGGAACCAGCTTATTTCTGGGGACAGCCTCCCTCTATCTGGAATGCCAGTCCTGCGGGGCTCGCCCTAATTTTAACCTTTTCTCCCCAGAATGGAAGAGGGTGAAATTCTCTTAGGAAAACCTAGAGGAAATTTTGGGAAGTGTTGGGTGGAATAAGCCTTACATCTAAGAGTTTCAGCGTTTATGGTTAACGCTAACCTTGGAACACCGCCCCCCCCCACCTCCCCGCCTTTATTTAGCAGTGGAATGTTTGGCATCTCTGGTGCTCAGCATTCCCTCTGTCCGGTGAAATGGGGGCATTCCTCCTCTCCAAAGAGCCATGATAAATTAGTAGAAGGTTTCTAAATTGGGGTGGGGGTAGTGATGTCAGGGAGGGGGTTATGGTGAAGTACCCATTGGCTACAAATTTGCTTTGAGCACTAAGTGGGTCTTTAAAAATAGTCTCCTCCAGTAAAGAAAGTGGTGATAGGGGTGGGGGTTCTTCTTAATGCTCTTTATTATATTGGGCAGGCAATGCTATGCCTAGGGCAATGATTCTCAAATTTTAGGGTACATCAGAAGCCCACGATCAGAGCTTCTGATTCAGTAGTTCTGGTCTGTGGTCCAAGATTCTGCACATTCCTAACAAGTTTCCAGGTGCTGATGCTGCTAGTCTGGGACCACATTTTGAGGACCACTGGCCTAACAAGCTCTTGTTCAACCATCAAAGCCCTGCTCACATGCCTTCACTTGGTTTCCAGACTCTGTGTTTTCCTTGTCTTTCATTCTTCTCCTTGCTGTTTCTTTTTCTTTCTCTGACCCCCGGATACTAGGGTGCCTCCAAATTCTATCCTTTCAGCTCCTGTTTCCCTTTCTCCTCACTTCCTCAGTGATTTCATCCAGTCTCATAGTTTGAAACACCAACTAAAACCTGATATCTCCCAAATATTTTTCTAGTCCAGACGGCCCACTGCCTCCAGACTCTTCTGTCTCACTGCCACCTCAGCATTTTCACTTGGATGCTTAAGAGCTATCTCATACTTAACAGGTCCCAGCATGAACACCTCATATTCCTTCCCAAACCTGTCTCTCCCCTGCATCTTCCTCATCTCAGTTAAAGGAACCTTCCCTTCCAGTTGCTCAGAACAAAATACTTAGAGTTATCCTTGACTCTTCTTCGTCTCAGGACATTACCAAATTCTGTCAGTTCAGGATTCAAAACACAGCAGGTACTGACCATGCTCCAAGCCCACATGACTGCCCTGATCCCAGTCGCCACTGCTGTTTGCTGGGGATGCTGCAGTAGTTTCCGAAAGGTGGTCTCCTTGCTGCTTCTGCCTTGCACACCTCCATTCCATTCTTAACACAGTTGTCAGGGCATCCTTTTGACAGAGAAGTCGGACTATGTCACTCCTTGGTTCCAGACTCCTAACAACTCCATCAATCATTTAGCAGAATCCAGACTCTTCACAGTGGCCTACCAGGTCCTACAAAACCTATCCCCACCCACTTATATCTCTGACCTATTCTGCCCTGCTTACTTCCCTCCAGCTACATGGACCTCCTGGCTGGTCCTCAGACACAGTCTAGCTGTCCTCTCAGAACTTCGCACTGGCTGTTCTCTCTGTTTGAAATGCTCTTGCCGGGAGAGCCACAGGACTCATGCTGGCACTACCTCTAGGTCTTGACTCAGATGTCATCTTCATGATGAGAAAACTTGAAAGCCTTCTCTCTAATAAGAAGAAAGCTCCTGGATCCTTTTAAAATAAGTTTAGACAAGGTTTCAGGAGTTTTCTGTAGGCAGTGGCTCAAATGATCTAAAATTTGTTTAGTGTGTGTGTTTATATGCTTTGCCTCAGGGAGTAGCTAATAATAATAAAAACATTTATCATGTTTACTATTATAAACATTTTAGATAGATAATCTCATTTAACTTTCTCAAAGACTCTGTGGGGTATGCATCATTATTATCCCCATTTCATAGATAGGGAAACCGAAGTGCAGAGTTCAGTGACAGCACGTGGTAGAGACAAGATTCAAACTCAGATTGGCTTTATTCCAAAAGCCTATTTTCTCAACTGCTACAGTAGCCTATCTCCTTTGTCTTTCTTTTTTGATTTCTTGCTCGCAGATGGTGCTAAATATCTGATGAATTTCATCAAATTACTTAATTAAAAATTTAAAGATGGATATGAATCCAGTTGAAACTTCAAAACACTATTTTCAACCAAACAAATTTTCAGCAACTATCAAACCGGTTCTCCTTTTCCCAGGTACCTATGGAGTATTTCAAAGCTTTAGGGTTGCCTTAGATTCATTTGCATGTTCCAGGTGTTAGGAAAATGAAAAACTTCAAAGCCCTAAAGAGATCTCCAAAAATTTAAAAATACGATTTAATACTTAAAGGTGACATCGTTTATTGCCACCTATGGGAAACTGGATCATTACACGTAAGTGCAGAATTAGTTGGAGTAAAATTTTTATTTCACATATAATTGCATGATCCCAAGAACAGATGACCGTTCCACATTGGCACAGACTGGGGACTCTGGAGAGCAGACTCTGACTTGGAGTTTAGTGCACAGAATGTTCACTAGGGGGCACCCTTGGGATCAGCTCCTGTGGAAGGGAGTGGGAAGAAGCAGGATTGGGTCCAGGGAGAAGTGACAATGCAGTCAGGTCCCTTGAAGCCCCTTCTGACCCCACAGGAAACTCTGGAGTTTAAATGGCCCACTTAACTTGCCCCATGTTAGGTTAAAATGGCCTGGCTCTTTGTACAGCTGCCTCCATCTGTCACTGGATGTGGCCCACACTGGGACAGTGAGCTCCAATGAGGCGGCTCTCTACACGGAGGCCAACCCAAAGGGGCGAACAGCTGAAGGCTGTTTGATGACAACACTCCCAGCAGCTGGGACAAGTTCTTTCCTGAAGACATTTTACAGGGAAGGGAAAGGATATTGTATGTGGAGAGGGCCAAGGAAGGAATCTGGAAAATCTAGAAATGATGTGTGTCAACACACTTCCTTTCGTCACTAATCACAAAGCTACATGGCCGTTCACTGCCCCATCATTTGGGAAAACAGCATGAGGCCCCAAGGTAAGAACTACCTGGGCCCCTCTCCGTAAGATGTAGCTTAATTGAATAATCAAATAATGCACATAAAGTTCTGATTTTAGAAAGCACTCAATAAACATTAGGTAGTGTAGTGGGTTGAATGGTAGCCCCCCAAAAAGATATGTTTATATCCCAGAACTTGTGGGTGTGACCTTATTTGGAAAGAGGGCTATGCAGATGTAATTAAATTAGGGATCTTGAGATGAGTTCATCCTGGATTATGGGGTGGGTCCTAAATTAATGGCAAGTGTCCTTATAAGAGAGAGAAGAGAAGTAACAGGCAATGTAAAGAGGGAGGCTGAGATTGGAGTGATGCAGCCCCAAGGCAAAGAATGAAGCTGGAAGAGGCAAAGAACAGATTCTCTGCTAGAGCCCCAGAGGAGTGTAGCCCTGCAGACACCTGGATTTCAGACTTCTGGCCTCCACTGTGAGAGAATAACATCCTGTTGTTTTAAAGCACCCAGTCTGTGGTAGTGTGCTGTAGCAGCCGTAGGAAACTAATACAGAGTGTTATACATCAAGCGAGCACATGCCTGGCACTCTATGTGTGTTATCTCATTTAATCCATGCAACATTCCTATCAGGTGAAGACCACTGTTATCTTCACTTACAGACAAGGAAACGGGACCAGAAGGGTCATTTAACTTGTTCAAGGTCACATGTCCAGCCAGTGTGAAGCTGGAATTTGATGGCATACGCTGCAGTGCCCCTAAAATCTTCCTCTTTGCAAAGACCTGTCTCTCCTCACACGGGCCGCCTACACCACAGGCAGGCAAAGCAACCTGCTGTCTCTGTGGGCACGAGGCTCGCCTCTCACAGAACCTGGCACATCCTACTGCTCGTCGCTGTTTTGTCTCTGTCTCTGGGTCTTTGTAGGTCTCTGTCTGGGCTCGCCTCTACCTCTCATGCCCACTCTACCCTCAGTGTTTTGCTACCTTGCTTTCACATTGTCTCTCTCTCCGCACATACACACGAACATGTACACCATCAGGTCGAAAATGAGCTGGTAAAATAATTCCAGGCTCTGTGGCTTGTCCTGCCAGTGACCTTCGTCGCATTCCAGCAGGAGGTGTCTGGGGGCTCTGCCCCGAGGCTGGCTGGCATTGTCCCTTGCTTCCTGCCCAGCACCAGCTGCCTCTCACCCCTGAGGAGCAGTCACATGCCTGCTGTGGGTCAGAATCATCCCCTGTGAGGGAACAAGGCCCAAGGTTAACCAGTTATTACAAATCTCCTTTTATTACAAAATATATACCCAACTGTTTAAATTGCTGCACTCAAATGACCTGAACTGGGAAAGTAGATCTTTCTTTCAGAGTGAGCATTTAAAAGGAAATAGATATTGAATAGATACTTTCTCTCCATCATTAATCTCTTCTTCATCAGCTTACTCCGAATCCTAGCTTGGTGTCAGACATCCTTCATTATTATTTGAATGAAACCTTTTAATTTCTTTTTTTTTTTGGTCAAAGTTCTCTAGGCTGACTCATCACAGTGATGATACCACCTTTTGTTGAGTGTTTATGATGTGCCAGGTGGTTTCATGCTCAATTTATGGAGGAAGAAACTACAGCCAAAGCATTGAAGCGATTCACCCAAGGGTAGGGGGGCTGGACGTAAACCCAGATCTAGCTACCAACAAAGCCCTCTTGATCTCTCTAATCTTCCAACACAGGGGAGGTGTGAGCAGACAGTTTGAAATGTCCTGTTCCCGGATCCCTCACCTCCTTCCTCCACCTTAGGCTGGGCTGAGGCTAGAGAGGCAAATTTCTCTCTGTCCCAGTGAAGTGTCGATACCCGGAGTCCTGCTGGAAAAGCCCTTTGTAATCAGAGGCCCTACCTCTCCATCCCACGTCCATCCCACACTAATACCTGTGCGCCCACTTCCCTTTCTCAGACTGCATCCTCTTATCCCTCTCACGTGTTCGCACGTGCTCCTTTTTGTTGAGAATCAGAACGCCTTCCTCCCCTTCCCTAGTTGGTAAAGTCCTTATCATGGGTTGAATCATCTCCTCACACCCACGTTGATCTGTTCAAGTCCTAG